ATGAGTGTGGGCCTTGCTAAGTTGTATGGCACACACATAAATATTGCTGCGGTCAAGAAGTCCGAACAACTGTGCCGCACGAAGCTGTACCGCTGTGAAGTGTTCTGCTGGGAAAGCCTCCGCCTAGTACCAGTAGCTTAAACAACCAATATACAACACATGGGAATACGTCGAAGCATATGAGTGTGGTGATGGATTGGTGTAAATGAGTGACTGTATGCACTTTGTAATAAGTCGTCTCTCATTGACTGAAGATAAACACGGGTGGTGTTGAATCGCATACAATCAGACGTGAATAATGATTTGGTGAGCTGTTTAGCAGTAAAAGAGGACTACTATATTTTTTTTGCTTTATTTTATGCGTCTGTATGTAGTATATATATATATATGTGTGTGTGTGTGTGTGTGCTTGTTTGTTTGTTTCGTTTTTTTTGTGTGTGTGTGTATGCATGTATTTGCACATAATGTGTGTAGAAACGTATTTATCGTTAATTTGTATATAAATATCTATATGCACCAGATTACACGTATGTGAGTGTCTAAAAGATTGTAGTTCTATTACATTGTGTGACACATCTCCATGTCGAAATTGTACCACAATTCGGTTACGATACATACGCTGCAACGACATCGGTAGATTGTAAGTGAACTGGATACTTGGGTATAGTCAATGCATGGGCAATCTGCCAGTACTGATCACACCGCTTTACAGAAGCAGCATTGACCACAAACTAATTTATTTATAGTCCGCACCTAAGCACTGGCCACGAACTAATTTATTTATAGTTCGTACCTAAGCACTGGCCACGGACTAATTTATTTGTAGTTTCTGACTAAGCACTGGCCACGAACTAAATTTTTATAGCTCCTAACTAAGCAATTGCCACGTACTATTTTTTTTATAGTTCCTAACTAAACTTCAAAGGACAAGACGGTAGTACTTCCGCCGCCCGTCTTCGCCTACCCACGTGGCCAGCGCAATAAAGCAACCACCAGGCACGACCTCATCTAGTCTATAGCCGTATCTCGAGTGTGCCAGTACTGTCCAGGACGCCTCCAACAGACAGCCCGGATCTAAGCGTTGGTAGAAAAGGCCGGGTACTTCTCCTGCACATGAGCCCAGGTCTCCATGCCACGTGCTAGTTTGCGCACAACCGCACCAACATCGGCAATGGGCAGACGCACCTGCGACATAGACTCCTTCTCACGCAGCGTTACGCACTTGTCTGTAAGCGTTTCAAAGTCCACCGTACTGATGGATGTGGTTGGAGTGGAACAGGGTATTGAATGTTAGGGCAATAGGAGACACGCGGGTGGTGCGAACTTGACTTAGCAACTGCTGCACTACACAATTGGTACGACTGTGTGAATTTAAAATCATATATATATATATATGTATAATATTAATGTGTGTGTATGTATATGTATATGTGTATGTATGTATATATGTATATATATATATATACCATATACCATATATCGCAATCACAAGTGTTAGTCTTACCAGGCGAACGCGGCTCCCAGCTCGTCAGTTCTGGCGTATCGGCGACCCAAGGCGGCGGAACTGGTGTCAACCTTAAAGCTCACGTCGTTGTCGGTGAGGTCAGCGGCTGTAGGCAATAAATAAACAGAAATGTGTCAAAATAAGATGAGTAGTGAAAGGCAAGACGCATGAATGGGTGGTCAATCACAAGAAGGTGTCTAATTGGGGTGCATACTGTAAATGAATTGTACAATACATGAATATGATTTAAATCGGGTACAGATAGACCGGATGATAGGATCTCGGTTGGCGGATAAGCGTGTATTTGGAGCGACCTTTCAGTATATATGAGTGTGGCGCATTTAGCATTGAAATCGTTGGGAACACTCACGGGCCACAGCGCAAGCCAAGGTGCGTACTACCTGCACATCGCACGAACGCCTTAAGGAGCATAATAGAAGCACCGTACGTAAACACTTCCCCCATGCAGATATATGTACACTGCATATACGTAAACACTCCCCGCAGGCAAATACATGTCCACTACACTTACGTAAACACTCTCCACAGGCAAATACATATACAGTACACTTATGTGAACACTCCCCCTAGGCAAATATATATACACTACACTTACATAAACACTCCCCACAGGCAAATACGTATCCACTACACTTACGTAAACACTCCCCACAGACAGATACACATCCACCACACCTACGTAAACACTCTCCACATACAGATCCATGTGTACTACACCTACACCCATGCCCACAGCGCACGCTTGTCTGCTTACCCAGCTCATCCAGGGTGGCATTGAAGTCGTCCTGGTTGCTGATGGGTAGCAGCACAACCTTTGTGGGCGCTATGATCGCAGGCAGCGACAGCACCACTCGCTGCTCATCACCCTCACGCGCCCAGAACACGTGCTCCAGCAAGGCGTACATACACCGCCCTGTAAGCAGCACGCAGGGGAAATCAGGGCAGAGTGGGATGAAATCAGGGAAGAGAAAAATGAAACCAGGGCAGAGTGGGATGAAGTCAGGGCAGAGTGAGATACCATACTGGTCAAGCGAAATTGTACCATAAACATATACAACCGGTATAATATCCCCGAAGTATCCTCATGGGCGTGTTTGGTCGAGACCGTCACCGTTTCGCTGAACGAGCCGGAACACACGCTCAGACAGACCACACACCCACTCCTCAGACAGACCACACACCCACTACTCAGACAGACCACACACCCACTCCTCAGACAGACCACACACACACTCCTCAGACAGACCAAACACCCGCTCCTCAGACAGACCACACACACACTCCTCAGACAGATCACACACACACTCCTCAGACAGACCACGCACACTCCATCGTAGACGCCACAAATGAGGCGCACAGCGCTACACGGATGCGAAGGCACAGAGTTATAGAGGTCACGCACACTCGTGCGATAGGACGCAGAAGAGCAGCTGCTACCTACTCGAGCTACATCGGGATCTCGCCCACGTTGGTGACAAGAGAGTGGCCTTTTGAACCCAAACGCGAGGGTATGAAATGCCCCAAAACGGCAGTGTTTGCACTTAGACTCCAGACCTGCGCGCATGTGGAACCTAACTAGTACACGTGTGTGTAGAGCCTTTTTCAACCGCACTGTTTACAGTTACAATCTATAAATAGAATAGGGTAGAACGTACCGATACCGAACGATGGCTCGACGACACTTGGTGTGTAGTTGCGCACTGTGAACTTCTTCTCCTTGGTCTCTACACTGACCTGTGTGGTGTGAGATGCCGCCGAGACGGGTATACGTTACGTAAGTCCAATGCACAAGCTGTTTGGAGCCTGGGGTAATCAGTATCTGCTGTGTTCCGCTGTATCACTAATTCTAGCACGTTTCAGTGTTGTGTGCTGCACGCGTGTTTTCTGTATCTCTATACTCACCGGTGCCGCTTGACCGCACCACGCACACATCAACCGAAACCTTTGTCCCCAAGTAGAACTACGCCACGCTCGGATACAAACACACGCATACTACAACATGCATGCGCATAGAACAGTTGGAATGCACACGCATATCAACTATGGCAATACACAAATGGAATGCACCCACAACCATCAATTAGAACCTACACCCCCAACTACATGCACACCATGTTCAGAAGCAAAACACACTCATACTAAAACATATAGCGCATAGAACACTTGAACTGTTCAAGCATATACACTGCAGTAATACACGAATACACCCATACATCACCACGCTGTATGTATATACCCGAACACATCACAATAGCACACCCATGGCGTGTACAGGTGTGCACTCACCATCTCGGGAGATACACGAATACACCCATACATCACCACGCTGTATGTATATACACGAATACATCACAATAACAAACTCATGGCATGTATATACCCGAACACATCACAATAGCACACCCATGGTGTGTACACGTGTGCACCCACCATCTCGGGAGTGATGTCGTAGTCGTTGGCATCCGTGCCCTTGAGCGTGAATTTGCCGCTCGTCTCCAGAGCAGACCCCATTGCGGCTGCTGATTCCGAATCTAGGGCTGCCAGGGCATCGTTGACAAATTTGGCCTCTTTTCTGAACGCTTTACCTACCTGCAAGCATATTGTGAAAGTGAATCCAAAATTAATTGGAATTTGGAATCACCACAGAGCTTGCCCTAATTCTTTTTTCTCAGCCTCCCGCAGCAGGGGGGGGGGGGGTGAGTGACAATATTAGAAGCTTGATATGCCTTTAAGAAGCACAAGCATAGCTGAGTACATGTACACTGTACTGGACAAAAGAATATGTATTGTTAGAATCAACCTACAGATTCAGAAGTGCGTATACGGGCGAAGTATATGCACATCCGTGGCAATGCGAGCACACGGGGATAGATGCCCTACACACATGTGCTCTTGTAGATAGAAATACGTCCATAACACGGAATAGACAGGAACGCATATGCATATATTAGAGCTGAAGAATAACTTATGTTAAGTTCTTTTTTGCGTGGGCCGTGGGCTGTATGTACTGGTGTCTGTGCATGTGAAATTTGAACGTAAATATATGTCGAATCGAACCTACGCACACACACAGTAATATACCATAGCTCACATGCATGCAAGTGCACACGCATGCGTCTGTCTCCACCTACATATGCCCCTCCATACAATCTCCTCACGACGCCACACACACACCCTGTTTCTAATTACGTCTATGACACGCCTCTCGCTCATGTACATACCAACTGTTTGTTGGGCACCGCCTCTGTGACCGTCTTGACCACAGGGGGTATGATATCCTCCTGTGCCTGAAGTTCGGTACCTGTGGCCTTGGAGTGGCACGTCAGATCGTACGCCGAGCGATCCGCACAGCCCACACACTCAATCCAACCGTATGAGGTGAAGCATCTGCAGATAACGCACATTCAATGCGAAGCTGTGAGCTGATAGTATGTGCCTGCGTGTGCATATAATTAATGGGCCATGGACGGGTGGGTGCCCGCCCACAACCACGTGAGAGTTTGCCATCCAAGCACGCTGTTGATGGCCGTTGATGGTTTGGATAGTGAGTGGATGCGAGCTCAGAGGAATGTGAACCGAGTCTGCCTCCACGGCTACAGAGACATGGTGCTGGCTGGATATGCGACGCATGCATGTACATGTGATGATGTATATAAGTAATATACCTACACAGGCAGCAACATGAGCATCCATCAAACACACAAACATTATACGCACATACTAAATGTATGCACATATTTAAAATAGACGCCAATAGTCACACTAACACATACAAGGGCAGCATGCCAGACTATATAACCCTAACCCCCTAACCTCTAACACGACCATTCCGACACACATGCCTCTACTCCCACACCCGTACAGTGTTGTGTACATACTCTGCATCCCAACAATCGGTGGCGTAGTGGGCCATCTCGGTGCTCAGATGCTGTCTGAAGCGCACGCGATCCGCCTTCATACCCACAGACACCAGGAACAGCTGAATACGTGCCATGTAGTAGCCGATGGTTTCATTGGCTACCATGCCACTGGCCACCGCCTCGCCTATGGTGGTGACGGTGGGTTTGCGCGCGTGCTCTTGGTCCGCCGCGGCGTAGAGGTTCATCTGGACGTCCTTGACCAGGCTGAACTGTGGGGGTTGCACAGGGTAGGTAGCGTGGTTAGTGGGACGTGGCATGGGGGTATGCAGATTGTGTATGTGTGTGAACAGGCGTGTATGCGAGGTATCTTGTAGCGATGCCGGGATCCATTGTCGAACGATTGGGTCTCTGAACGTGGGCGAGAGGGAGACACGAGTAACGCCTCGAGGTACAACGCAGCCTTCTACGCTATCAAAAGTGATGTGCATGGCACTCTGTGATGATATACCTACCACTTACTGCTGAATAGCGTCCAGCTTATTCCTATACAAGGACTTGACAACTAGCACCCAAAGTCACTCACTCATGCACACACAATATGCACACAACGCAAACCCACACCCACTCCACAACCAACATCAACAACAACAACAACAACAACAACAACAACAACAACAACAACAACAACAACAACAACAACAACAACAACAACAACAACAACAACAACAACAACAACAACAACAACAACAACAACAACAACGACAATAACAACAACGCTTTCACACACCTTCTTGTGTGACTTGTCATTGGGGTCGATGAAGTGCTCGACCTCCGCCATAGTGAACTCTCGCACTCGCAACAGACCAGACCTGGGAGCGATCTCGTTACGAAACGCTTTGCCAATCTGTGCAACGGCCATGGGCAAGCGTTTGTTGTTGAACTCGTACAGCCGCTTGAAGTTGGTGAAGATACCTTGGGCCGTCTCGGGGCGAAGGAAACCTTTCACCTGCAGTTGATGGGATACAGTAGCACGTGTGACCATTGCGTATGTACATGCCTGGTATATATACGTAATATCATGTAATTGTTGACATATGTCTGCACAGGTGAGTGAGGTTCATGTGTATGTATGTCCCAGTTGGCGCTTTGATGGTGCTACAGTCTTTATATAAATAACTGTTGTGTGGTAAGCTTCGACATTCAAATATACTGAACCAAGCCAAGTTGTCATTAAAATTAAGGGAACCGCCACATAAGCACATGCACATGTAGTGTTGGACCTCAAGCGTCAAGGACTACAAACCCTTGAGAAACCATATCGTAAGAATTTGGCCTGCTTGTCATGTATCGTTTCGTTGCGAATGCCACGCACACACTACTGCCTGAGAGTAGGATGCGCTGGATGGTATCAACCCTAAAACCCTAACACGCGCACAGAAAAACAGGCACCTCTAAAAACAACCCCCAGAGGATTGCCCTGCAACTGATGCCTGTAACCACGCCCACAAACATTCACACACAGCGATGCAGTGTTATGTGCAATTGCTTATACGTGATACATAAACCCGTGGTAGTTGCACTCCAGCATGCAGACCACCACACACAGCCAGCGGCATATCGGGATATAATACAAGTACATGCTACCTACATTGCCGGAGGGACCGATAGAGGTCGAGAACATCAGGTTAAAGTCCACAGGCTCGGAGAGCGGGTTGCCCTTGGCAACTGCACCTGGGTCGGCCTTTCTCTCTGCCTTGGTCAACTCCGGTACGGTGGGTGAACGCACATCAAACTCCTGCATGACTCTCCACAGATTCTCCTTATCACCAGACAGACCATCAACCAGGGGAATGGTGGTGCGTGCTTTCTCGCGGAGCTCTGAGGGTGTGTCCTTGGCCTGGGCGTGACAAGAGCAAAGGTTAAGGGTTAAAAATTTAGGGTTTAGGGTTTAGGGTTTAGCAGGGTTGAGGGATTGGGTTTGACGACAGCGATGCATATCTAAGTAGGTGCTCACTTGTGGTGTGGGTGTCAGTAAAGCGAAGAAGTCATTGCACTAGAATACACGTGGATGGCAGATACATGTTAGGTGTATGTGTTGCTACTCATAAGTTTTTTTATATGCCTAGGATATGTACACAAAGTTGAATATACACAGCACAGACAGGGAATGCATAGGTAAAAGACCTCGCGTAGACCGATGCCTGAGAGTAGTGCCGCCTCTGTAGCTTGGCCGATATGTGCTCAACATAGATATACCACTACACCTACATCGTGCAAGTCGCAAACGCGTGTGTGTGGCCCAATACAGTAGATGAAACCAGTTGGGATTGATAGGAAAGCCTGCGCTCGAACTCAATGCACACGCCATTTAGTTGGCTTACAGGTACAGTAGCATTCTTTCATCCAGCTTGACCCTCAATACGTATTCACATTTATACAGACGCGATCGTCACATATCTGCACATACGCACACATACGCACACATGTGCGTCTGTGTGCACAAACAGATTTATAAGAGGCTATCCATCATTTGCACTTACGTCCATAGAACTTCGAGTGTTGATTCAACCCCATTGAACAGCACGTGGTACCGAGACCGGACAAACATACACACATCACATATTGAGTAGTATGGGTTTATATGCCAACTTATAGTTATCGCATAATGAGTAGTATAGGTTTATATGCCAACTTATAGTTATCACATATTGAGTAGTACTGGTATATATACCAAGATACACATATCACATATAAGGTAGAAGTATGTCATCAGTAGAAGCCATCACGCTTATACCACCTGCACTCCCCACCAAGAGCTTCTCAGTCTTTCCAGCAGATAATCGGCTATGAATCCAATGACCAGACAAACATCGAACACAGCTGTTCAAACTATTTATACAGACTGCACTGTCCAATACACTACACACACCACAACACACTCCCACAAATACACACACACCACAACCCTCCCACAAATACACACACACCACAACACACTCCCACAAATACACACACACCACAACACACTCCCACAAGTACACACACTTGGCTATATGTATGCCATCAGTACAAGCCTATCTTGCTACCCATATCACCCACATTCACCTCAATGAGCTTCTCGAGTACCGCCTCCAGCAGATGATCGGCTCTGTAGTTCTCTCCGGTGACCGTATCCTGGCACATGAGATCGGTGAAACGGTCCACATGTCCCGAGGCCTTTAGCACTGGCTCGGGGGTCATTATGGTGGCCTCTACTTCCAGCATTTGCTCTTCTAGAACAAAATGACGCCTCCACTGCGCAAGCAGATTGGCCTGTAGAGGTGCAGCATAATATTGTGTACAAAGGGTTTTGGGGTTTAAACCCTATACATAGCATGTTGTCGATTCTGCAAAGACCCATGCTCTTGGGGTGACCCTATATACTAGATGGCACCATCGGTCAATAAGAGACATTGACTTCAGATACCGTGACGTGTTTATATCGGACTTGTGCATGCCGCTGGTTTCACTGCATGGAACAGATGTCCAGGGCTATGATGTGCGTGAGCATGCATGTGTATATATCAAGGAGAGCCCGAGATATACCATGTCAAGTATATGGCAATGTAGCTGACATGTGCCCCGTCTGTGCGAATTGGACCGACCCATGCCACTCTTACGCATTGGTTCTGTCAGGTCAAGCCATCATCAGTTCTTCGAGCGGCACAGGTGTTTACATGTGTATACGGCTATTCACATCAATATCATATACGGGCAAAGGCCGAAGACTCGGTACATATAGATGCACACTTAACAGCACACTCGCGTACACACACCTGAAGTTCGCAGTCCATATAGTCCAGTATATGAGCCACGCCAATACCAAACAGATAAACGCCTTAGTATACTTTTATAAACACCTATGCACGCATAACAACACACGCACACATACACATACCTGAAGGGCACAGCCCATGGGGCCAAGATCGTAAAGTCCAGCAACTCCACCGTATATGTCATTGGATAGTCCATAGAAGAATCTGCGCTTCATCAGATCCTCAAATGAAGCTTTGTTGAAGCCGGCATCGAGCCTGGCATTGGTGAAATATACGTATATATAAATATGTATAATAAAATTGAGAACGTACTTCTAGATAGCAAAGACTTGTCGGCCTATCCAACTATGACGCCAAAACAAACGCACGATAAGAGGAAGTATTTCTTGTGGCATGCACGACTATACGGCTACATGCACTTCTAACGGTGTGCTTACGCCGATCATGAACCGAGACAGACATACACATGCATTCAGCACTGCATATGTAATGGTAGATATGTTGTATGTACACGGATAAGTAATCGTTCATCTCCATTGGCCCATGAGAATGTGCACAGTTTATAGCTGATACCCGTATATCGTCATACAGTGAGCCGAATACAAAACAAACGGTTGAATCGTCTGGTTAAGTCTGGTAGTACTACCATGCATATTCTAGAGAGACACATTTGCACTTCTGCGTGTTGAAGCCTATCACGTGCACATGCACCTCCTCTTCAAGTGGACATGACGCATACATATATATGCGTGTATATACAAGTTTGTGACCAAAGATGTGAAGAAAACATAGGGTAAATCGATACAAATGAAGGTGCAGCCGTTCGTGTAAACACATCTATGCCGGTGAGCTGATGCACGGCAGACTTGAGATAATGAATGAGACTAAAAAAACAAAACATAAACGTTACAGTATTACACACCTTGTGTGTTGTGGTTGCGCCTCTTCTAATCGCTTCTTAAGACTCTTCAACAAGTTCACAGCAACTTTGACCTCTGCGGGGTCAGCCTTACTCTCTTTCAAAGTTCTGCAAGAATCATAAGGTGAAATATGGTCAGGATATATGTTTATCCACATCATATGTACACTACAGAGTGTCTAAATGACAATCTCTAGCGCCCCAATCTACACCCAAAACCATAGC